TGCTTAATTGTTCTGGTTGATTAAAGGCAAGCCCTGGGATGAAAACGATGATGAGAGCGCCTGGACTGAGCTGCGGGACGGCCTGAAAGTGGAAAGGAAAGCTAGAGAAATCTTTGGGATCGCTGAAATTAAGGCCTTAACCTTCAAAAAGGTCGGATGTGGAACGATGGCGAGGCAGGGCGGTCAAAGAAGACAAAACACGCGAGAGATCACGCCGTTCGAGAGAGCACGCCGATATCGAGGTGGGTGGGAAGCGTTGCAACGGGGGTCGATGGTTGCAGGCCCGTAAGGATTAGCGCCCTAACCGCGCAACTTTTGCGGCGAAGCTGGAGTGATCTAGGTAGGTAGGGACTTTACAATTTTCCTCGCGGTATCCTTCCCACAAGGGCACCGAGGTTTGCCTTTAACAACAAATGGCCGTTTGAAATGGAGATGAGAAAACGATATCAAGTATTACGGGAGTTACCTTCATATGCGACCAATTGAGTACATCTAGGAAGGCGGAAAAAGGGTGCGAATGCTTGATAGTGGCCCTTTTATCTTCTTTGAAACCTTATTGTTTGAAGGCGAATTTACTATGAAAACTTAGCTCGTTACAAATAAGGGTAGAGGTGGTTAGTGGAGCAAAGATGAAGAAAATCATTTTAACGGGCTCCGAAATTCGCGAGAAAATGGCGGCCCCTTTTGGTTTCGTCGATTTGCGCACTGGTGGGATCTGATGCCGATTGCCCTCTCCACTACATTCCGACTCTCTGCCGATCTAATCACTCGCTGAGTATAGGCTGAGGCGCAGTGATTTATATCGGGTGCCGTCCTTCTCCCCCCCCCCCCAGACACAGCCAAAGTGAGCCATGCTAGATCGCCGAGGTCAAATCTTCCGCTACCAATAGCGTGTCGTTCAGCACCCTCAGGAGGTCCGCCTCCCAACTATGCAATTCTCTCCTTCATTGACTTCGTTCTTATCGTGAATTCCTCCTTTAATGAACCGACAAAAAATTTGCCTTCCCAAATTGGTCTTTCTGCTCTTTTCTCAGCCCCCACCCCAATCAAATATTAATCCAATTCTTAGGTAATTTATGACAATCCTTTGGATTCCAGACTATGCATTTGAGAGATATTAGCATGAAAGGACAAGAAAAAGTTTGCAAATTATAATTCAGCAAAGAGGTTTTTTTCCAAGATGTCTAGAACTGTTGGGAACATTTTTTTTTTCGTGCAAAGAAGCAATAAATGCAAACAGCATAAGTGCGCCTCAGTATCCTGGGTCGTGATAGCCAGCTCTAGTTCTGCTCTGCAGTGGAAGTGATTTTTTCATTTGGACGGTGCGATAGGCTCATTTCTCAGCGATTTTATGGGATTCTCGTCGCCTCGGTCCGCTGGTGTGTACTCGAAGATTGACTCGAAAAACTCTGATGTCGGAGTAAACTCAAGCTGATTTATTCGCCGCGAAGGAAGTGGATGAGAGACCTTTGCCGACAATTCCATGTTTATCCAATTGATCAATGTTGCGGTCCTCCCGCTTAGGATATTTTTGTAAACCTTATTGTCAGCTATCTCTTATTGGTGCATTTTTGTCAGCTACGAGGGTCAATAGCCAGCCGGCGACGAAAGTGCGCCATACCTTTCGAAATCCATTCATGCATTATAGAGGATGCTTGAAAGGCGCCTCAGGGATTTGTGTGACTCATGTTTTTGTATCTCTACCGCATACAACCTTATCAAGCCACAGCGATGAAACCGTAGTATGCCGTCAGATTATGGTCAATCAGCCCGCCTCTGTGGGTGTATGGAGTATCTTCTTTAGCTATCTTGTGAGCAAACCCCGCCGGGGCCACGCGGTCGTAGTAGGCTTTTCTTCCAAGGCTCATGCAATGCTGCAGTAAAGCTATTGTTTAGTTTAACAAAGGCTGATTTATCTGAGCCGTTAGCGGCGGTTAAGAATAGCAGTCATCAGTAGAAACTACTAAGACAAATCACTGGGCTTTGACCTATGGAGCTTTCTGAGGAGTGCAACGCATTCGAGTTGAATAAGGAGCTTTGGGGGCAGAATTTAGGCGTTCTTACAGCCCAGGAATAATTCGGAATTACTGTCCAATCAGAATAAATAATTGGCTGCGGAGGGAGAACATCCAGGTAAACCTTCCCAAAGCCTTGCCATTAATAAATGAAACCCAATAAGAGATGCCAAGCGGGCACACAGTGGATGCTCGCTTAGCCTATTCTAGCGAGCAATTCTGCTGAAATCTCCAGAAATGGCGCTAGCTCATCAGGTGAGTAGTGGTTCGACCATGGGCGTAATCGAGTTATCCTTACGTAAACAAAAGTGATTAAACGATTTCGATCGAATATATAATGCACATTTATTCATTTCAAAGGGTTAGTGTAGCGTAACTTTACGTTTTTCCCGAGATTCTTTTCCATGCAAATCATTGATGAGCTCCAGCTTCTCAGACCATCGCCCAACCAAAATAGAACTACCTTCCGGGTGTGCGTGTGCAGAAATCGAAAACAAATAAGTGGTATATCAGCCAACAAAGCCACGCGCAATGGACGTTTGTTTTTCCATGAACAAATCACTCAGGTGTTGTTTGGGCCATGAAATCTGGTCCATCGCCAGTTCGTGCTCAGTTACCACTAGCACAAGTACATCCACTAGCCTCATTATTGGCCATGAATAACGACCTTTGCCCATTAAGCTAGGAGGAAAATCTTAGACAGAGTGCCAGGGAAACCACTATTCACAAAACAAGAGCAGGAAGTTGTATTACCCTTTTTTCGTTCGTTCGGGTTTTTCAAACGTGATGCTTTCGTTAGTAGGACATCAAGGAGAGGCTCCGTTACCGTTAATTAACCTTTTTGAGCAACGCCACGCATTCGACCTGATATTCAAAATTCGAGTGATAATTGCATGAAAAACCCACAAACTAGAACGCTTGAAAATGGCAAAATTCTGTAGCGTTAGGTACAGCCTTTGGTTTGAAATTAGCGCTCAGAAAACTTGGCCCATTTTGCCTTTGAGGCCTTCGTGACCCATCCATTGGCCCACGATGAAATCGTTTCGGAAAAGCTTCCCCATTTGTTCTTTAGACTGGTCGGCATGCAGTGCCAGCGAAACTGACGATCAAATAGAACATGTCTTGCAAATGTTGCAAAACTCACGTGCTCCGAATTGAACTACTCAAGCAGGTCGGCTCAAATTTTCTCAGCCAGATTTTCAAATTAAAGCACAGTGAATGAAATTCGGGATCCGGGTAATTCGGGTTAGGTACTCCCATTCAGCTAGGTTTCTTCAGGAAATCAACGGGGAAAACAGCACGCTCTTCTAAAGCGCTGGGAAGTTCTGAACCATTAGATGGGCGATTAAAGCGTGATCAACAGAAATATAGCAATTATTCATTTATTGCGCTCAAAAGGGACGCTATTACAGTACTAGGCCGTCCAAGAAAATAGCACCCACATCAAGAACTTTTAGGCAGGAAAGCGACTTCAACAAAATAAAACTGAAATGGAAGTATAGATCTGGCTCAAGGTGCTTCTTCAATATGATAAGATATATTGTCTCTGAATACTCCGATTTTATCGATAATCAGAGGAAAAAAATTCTATTCATTTCTTGGTTCATGTCCTTTATTTTTGAAGTTAATTCCAACTGCATATGGTGGTTTATACAATAAAAATATACTCATAAGCGAAAAGTGAATCTAGTCGTTATTATCAGATGGGAACAGTTTTCTAACCTTATAAATTCCCTTTGCAAAATGCGGCACTATAACTATGTCCAGCATAATTCGTATAGCATACATTATACGAAGTTATCATTTCTCTAGCCTTTATCTTTAAGAAAATAACCCTAATAAGGTTGTCAGCGGCACAGCTGGCCCAAATAAGGCTACAGCTCGCTGAAGGAGTTGAACGCGACCATCGTTGCTATCGTTGTCCACATAAATAAAATTATAGAAACATTCAAATGCTGTTTCTTTATGCAGTATATACGGGAACCACCGCTGCTCAACTGAATATCACTCAAGAAACTCTCTAGGAGAGGTAAATTATTACCCACACATTTTCCAGGATGTAAATTTTACTTTAGAAAAGATAAAATAGTTAGTCCTTCTAAGTCCACGTACAGGAGTAAGCACAGCGTAATAAGGTTAGCATAGATCAATTTGAATGTAATAAATGTAATACAATCAAAATATTGTTGAAGCTCCGTTTGTGAGCATAAAAACCGTTCCAAGTAGAGCGAGTTCGAGTTGGAATCAAACCGAAGCGGCGTCGGAGCACTTGCCAGAGGTCAAACAAAGCGCGCCGATTTGGAATTGAGCCCGCACGATCCTAGCGGCTGAGTTTTCATAAACAAAATTTTTCCCACGTCTTTCGTGGAACAATACAGTCTGGAGGCTAAAAAGAGCACGGAATTCTATGCCGCGAATTCCCACTGAACGGACAAAAGCAGACTCACTGTGTGGACCTCGCTTTAAGCTCTGAAATGACGGCACTGCGTCGCCTCTTGATTTATTTGTTGCAGCGCGAATATATCAGCGGAGCGCGGACGCGGAAGCGGAAATCTTGACTGTCCAGTGCCGCTCCTCAACCACTTCTTGCTAGCCGAGAACTGGGCACGCAGCGGTAGAAAGCAAGTTCTTACCACTTCCATTTATTAGATTACTGTAAGGTTACTGTAGTAACATAATGGCACCCACCGTAATCGGCCGGTCCATGGCTGAGTAGCTGTCCCGAATGACACGCGCCATTCGTTTCCGCGCGCCGCTGTCGTCCGTCGATGCGATGGCGGGGACCTCCGGATGAGGGTCAACGCTCGCGCGCGACAGCGGGCGGTGCCGCGCGTTTGTTTGCGTCCGCGCGCATCGCGTCGCAACCGGTCGTCGTCGCGGCGGCGTTTATAAGCGGCTAGGGCGCGGGCAGCTGAGTTGACAGTTACGACGTTCTTGTCGTCGTCATCGTCGTCATCTGTGTCATCGTCATCGACGAATCCTACCATGTGCGGTATTTGGGCAGTGATCGGCGAACAGCCGACAAGCACTCATCATCGACAGTTCATGAGGATCGTGGGAAGGGGTGAAGGGGTCCAGATCTGACTGTGATCCAAGAGGTCCAACCCGGAGTCTATCTGGGCTTCCATCGGCTCGCCATCGTTATGGTGAGTACTTAAAGTTCAAGTGAGCGCGTACTCTCATCTCATTGAAGATTCTTTGGCCTTGTCTTCACGAGTGCGGCTTTTGAACGAATGTATGTGCGTAGATCTCTATTTACTCGAGACAATTCGTATGTCGAAACTTGTTTCCTCAGAGAGGACTCACATAAGACTTTATGCCAATAGGGGGAATATGAACTCGTTCAGGTGTTAGTTTTGACTTCTCATCATATCTCGCTACACTGTATAATTCTGTGGTCTACGAGCACAGCTGCTCCAGCTGTACTCCACTGTTATCGGCGAGTCCGCGAAGTATTTCTTTTCGGCAGCAGTAAACTTTGCATTGAGGCTAGCATATGAAAGGGGTTGCACTTACATCCCGTAACTATTGGATCTTTGCGATCTTTGACTATTGGATTGCGCTTTTTCTGTGAAGAACCCCTCTGGTTACCTGGCTTAGTATTCAGAGTTCCAGCGTTTTGTAGTTGTCTTTTTCAAGAGGCTATCCAATCACGTTTACCATTTGAATTGCTCTCAAATTTGGGTCAGATTCTGCTGAATTTTCTTAGCTTCAACGACTGCTAATGCAATTTTCTCTGTCGAAAAATGTTCTGCAAAGCGACACGGGAGGAGGAAAACTGAATTTCCAAATAGAAAAGCGTCCAGAGAAAATTTGTATAAAATTATTCAGTTAGTCTAAACTCTTTTACTGCGATCCTTTTGAATTATGTGCGAGTAGATCTCACTCCAACAAAAAGGTTCGATTGAGAACAACTTATTGTTTCGAGCTCTTCTCCCTTGTGATGTGCATTGCTAACGAGTGGATACTTCTGGTTCTGGTGTGTCCTGAGCCAACTATTTATTGACCGAAAGATGAAATTCGAGCTCGGGAAAAGCACAGAAATCTCGTCATTAGTGAAGCACATTCCTTGGTGAAATTTCCACTGTGATCCATCTTCAAACTTTCTTTGAGTACCCTGTAAACATTTTTTGCAAAAAAAAAAACTAGGAATTTGTTCTAACAAGCTTGTAGGATTTGCCCTGCAGATGCCGCTGATCTTTGTGTGGTACAATTTGTTTCAGCTGACGTGCGCCTCGGCGAACTTTTCAGAAAAGTTTTTTATGCTTTTCTCACTAGGACGTTTCTTTTGAATAACTATGAGAATTATTTTGCATCCTGTCACTCCTTCGAATTTCCTTCATTTCTGATAATGTCACTCTTATTGAGCTTCCACCCTGAGGGCCGATTCGTGTGAATTTCTGTAATAACTTCATTCTTCAGACGCAAAGGGTTTCACAAGAATCGGCTGCGTTAGCCATTTGTAAGATGCCTTCAATTACTAATTTAACTTAATTTAATTAACTTCTGGCTAGGCAAAATGACGATAATCGGGTGAACACGACGGATGGCGCTATTTACTCCGTGCGCGGTTCATGTTCGTAATACCTGATATTGAACACTGTCCAAATCAGCCGAGCCTGTCATGTCTCCTGGACGGGCTTTTTGATACCAGGCTATTTGGCAGGATAAAAGCACACAATCGCTCTCAGATCTGTGGAATTCTCTGTCTAGGCGTAATTGCATTTAAATGAGAGCAAGGAATGAAAAATGGAAGTATAATGCGTGGCGCGTCCCATCGTGCGTCCTAAAAGGGGCTCTTGATTAAGAATCAGTGCTTTATGCTTTTCATGCTTATTTCTATCTTCGCTATACATATACTCACATTGATCTACTGGTAACCTTCCTACCCTTCAATAAGAAGGTAGGTACATTCTAATCATTCCAAGCAATAACATCTGCAATCTCATGTAAAACTTCCTTGAAGAGCTCCATCAAAAGTCATGCTGCCTAAGAAACTCGGAAAACTGCCTGAGAATTGAGACTTCCACCGCAAGTTTTTTCTAAGCTCTTGATACTCTTATGGTTAGCAATAGAAACCATTTGCGAAGTTCTACTTCAAAAATATAAGGTAGAGAATGTCTTCCTGTATTTGGTTTCCCTTTTGCTCACATGAATGATGTTAACGTGCAATCTCATGGTACATGTGCTTTGCATAATTTCGGCATTTATTGATCCAGAAAACACAAGGATGCCGAACGCGGGACACCAACGAGTTTAAGTTTTATCGACAACATCAAATCACTAGCAATAATCTGGGTTGCGAATGTTACAGTTCCCTTCGAAATATGTGTTTTAGACTTTTCTCAAAATCATCAGTGCTGTAGATATTCCTTGTTATGCATTTTTCAGCGGAGGTGAAAGTTATTGCAACGGCAGTTTATGCAATTAGCATTCCTCCAGAAGGTGTGTCTTTATAATATGCATTTGTATGTACCGTCTCTACCTATATTTAGACAGGGTAATACACGGTGACAAAAATGAGAAAATTTTTGCAAGCCGTTTCTCAGGGTTTTCTTTCGAGAGGTTTGCTTTGAGCGCCCTTGAAGTAAAAAAAAAATTGAAGTCCATGGAATCTCGTACCAAATTTTCCACAGAAACTCTTCGAAGAGTAGATCGTTACTGAAGCATGTGGGCATCACTTGTGTGTCACAGATCGCCATAAGAAGACGATTTTTTTTGACCGAATGAGCTTGGAGTATTATAGTTTCATCTTCATTAGTGACACTTGTCAACATCCACATCTTGGGTGACAGTGGTGTCGTGGCAAACAGCACGCTGCCACGCGCACGGTCTAGAGGACGAAGCCTGAGGGGGGTCGTGCGGTCGGCCCGGGCAACCGAAAGCTTCCATCTCCTCCAGGCTCGGCCAATGGGAAATTGTGAGGACCAAAACACTGACTTGTACATTCGGCTGCCTAAACCCCTAGACCGCGGGTCCCTGCAAGTCACTTGTATATGGGCAATCGCTGATTACGATGTCAACACGTAATGTGTAAATGGAAGTGAAAATGGCGGTTGCGCGCACTCCAGAAGAGTTCTATCAACTTTTAAATTACCTTATCATCTCTTTAATTACCTAAATTTCCACCACAAACACTTACAGAGGCCGACATCTCAGTCGAGTTACATGATTGACCACTAAGCAAGACTCTGAGTTAATGCATTTACACATCTGTCAGCAAGCGAAAGGATGGTGAAGCATTATTGTCGCAGATTAAAGACTCCTTGCCGGATGCATTCCATTCCATCAGAATTCTAAGTGGCCAGTTTTCAGTGGCGATTTGGCCACTATACAATGGGCTCGCGGAGCACCGGTAGACCGTGTTTGTTTTTCTCAAAGACTAGTCTGGTTCAAATTGCCGTTCCCGGAAGGGACCGGATTCTGGTTGGCCCGGATGACGCACGAGGCCGAATTTGATCTCCAGACGGTGAACAGCGTCGCTTGCGACTACACTATTTCCGCTCAGTCACGCAAAATTGAGGTAGATAAAAGGTCGTTGTAGTTGACTCTTCGCACAAGAACAAACCCTTCTTTTGAAATTTTTTCGTTAGCGACGGTAGACCGGAATTCACACTACAGACTTCTTTCAGCCTGGTGATGCCCCCAGCGAGCAACCAATTGTTGGCGAAGGTCTGGCAGTAGTGTGTAATGGTGAAATTTATAATCACAAGGATATAAAGGTTAGTGCATAGAAAATAACCTTGCCGTGTTGCGCTTTTCGTTCTAGTAAGCTGCGGAGAGCCAAATAGCATTCCATACCATATCGAAGATTGCAATCCCATTTAGGCGGATTCCAATGCTCAACTGACGAATGACGGAAGCGATTGTGCCGCGATCATCCACGCCTTCATCAATTCAGGTTATCTTTATCCTGTAGAAATAATTTTTTGAATTCCGCATTTTTAGAATATTCGTAGGCTGATTCAAAAATTGAATTTCACTGCAGTCCGCTTGTAGTGTTTACTATGAGTGCATGTCGGTGAAAATGCAGTTTGGGAGGAGGTGGAGGGCACTCATCCTCATTTTATCCCAAGTACAAGAGAGCACCACGTGACTATCTAGCGCTGAGATGATATTACGTAAGCGACCCATTGAAAGTGTACTTTCAATAAGGACCGGTGAATGTCCTACATCTTACACGTCCTGGCCACATCCTGTCGTTTTATGCCCCAGGTCAAGTACCCTGAAGTTCCAGTGCCCCTAAGTCCAGGTAAGGTGGCTATTCCTTTGGTTCAGGACCTTTTTATGGGCCATCGGAAGCCGAAAGAAGTACCACTGGAGTACGTATTACACAATACTGATATTTATCAAAAGTGTATTGCAAATGAGTGAAATGGTTACATGTCATAAGCGTTCTTATTCTGATCCTTAGTATTGGACAGCACTATGAAGTGCCTTCTCCCCGAACCCCAATTTCACCATGCATTTCCTTCAGCTCCTTCAAATGACTTACTTCTATCAAGGATTCTTATGGTCGCAAGGGTTCACTGCAAAATTGGCAAGAAAAAGAGCATGAGCTCTCGTAACTCACTTTCACGGCGATGGCAGGCACGGGTAAAACACTACCGAAATTCCTGGAAAATCTGAATGTTTACCGAATCTGAAGGACCCGAGAGCATCGGTGACCTTTCATGAGATCGATTCTGCAGTCTAAGAATAAGCGAGTCACACTTTCAGCCTAATGTACAGGGGGGGGGGAAAAAAGAGTCACTTCCCTCCACATTCAAAACGGAATTAATTACACGTTGCGAAACCAAACCAAATGAGCCCAACTGAATATTAAAGAGCACATTCTATCTATCAAAAGTTACATGACAGCCTTCTACACCGACGACATCAGAAGATTTTCCCACGGAAACATGGTTCACGGTACGAGCTCAACGAGGTCGTCGAGGTACCATAGACCATTACGACGTCCCTGAAACGCTGGTCAAAAGCGGTCTTGCACAGTCACAGCTAGTGTCTCTGAGAAGCTATTCACCAGTTAATCGATTGAAGAAATTATGTAGCAGCTTCAGGCCGGAGCGATTACGGTAAGCCTCGTTGAGCTCGACGGCGACGGCGGATGACGTCATATTCTG